AAAAGATATTAATCTATTGTTTAAGTTTAAGTTTCTTTGAAACAATCGCCAAATTTGCTGTGTCAGCAACCATTTTCAAAGCTATTAGGTTGTCCAATAAGTAATGCGTGTTACTTATTTCGAAACTATTGCGAAATCGCTTCGAGCAAATATATGCTCTTTTTAATCATCAGCATCTTGTGTTTATTTTTATATATTATTTTATTCATTTGCCTTTGCTTTATAATAGATACCGTATTTACTCTAATAAAAGCCCCCCCCTTGAGGGGTATCGAAAAAATAAACCCCCGGGGCTTTTAATAGAGTAAATACGGTATGTTGTTTTGCAGATGAAAGACAAAAAGTTTGTTGTCCGCGCATCAATGCTGTATGATTTCAAACGAGGTAAAACTGCAGCGGATTGCCATCGAACTATCTGTGCCGCATTTGGAGAGGATTCAATTTCAATCAGCCAGTGCCAGCGCTGGCTTAAACGATTTGCGGACGGAAACGAGTCATTAGAGGACGAGGAACGCGCTGGAAGGCAAAAATGGCTCGACGATTTCTTCTCGTCGAAACCAGCTTCATTCTATTATGACGGACTTCACTCTTTGCTCGGACGATGGAGAAATGTTGTTGATTGTTGTGGAGAATATATCGATTAATAAAGTTCTCTTTTGTTAATTTTGTGATATTTTGAAAATCGTGTCAAAACACGCATTACTTATTGGACAACCTAATAAATCAAAGCTAAAACAAAAACTTTATTCAGTAAATAGAATAAAACAAAGAAAATGCAGCTTTCAAATGACTAAATTTCTCAAAAATACAAAAGTTTCGCAAAACATTGCGTTTTTAGGTAAACTTATACAAGAAAATGGGTGTTTGGAATGGGTGGAGCTTTTCTCTTTTGCAGAAAAAGAAAACTCAGCCTTTTTTCCGAGAAAAAGGGGAAAGACAAGTGTTTTATAACAAAAAAGAAATTTTAAAACACATCAAAACAATTCTAGAAGTGAATAGAAATATAATAAAGAATAACAAAGATTCTAGAATAAAGAAACCCGATTGAAACATTGATTCAAAGAAGACTTGGCGCAGAAATTTCAACCTATTTCTTCTGATGGTTCAGAAAATAACTTGTTTAGCAAGAATTTGTTTCTTGATCCTTTTTCTTTGTCGACTCGTTGATGCTAATATACTTGGACTTGGTGAAGCTTGTCTGAAAGCTTTTTCTTGTTCTTGTAGTCGTTTTCCAGAGCTACAGATACTGTAAAATCCCAATATCCAATATCTCTACTGTATCGAAAAAGTCGTGACCTTTAAGACCGATTCAGGTACAATCATCATTCTATTTTGCCTCATTGATTTTACACTTCTCTAAAAGATCAAATTAGTTTCTCAGGAAAGGGAATTTCGACACAACCAATGGTGCAAATAGAAACGAATGGATCATTTTTTCTGAATGCGCCCAACTCGTAAACATGATCATTATATAAAGCCAAAAAGAAAATAGCATTTCAAAGCATTTTTCAAAAGTTTTCACTATGACTCAATATTTTCTTCTACTTGTTTGTTTGATGGTTCTGTTGATGATTCAAGAAGTTGTTTTTACAATTTGAACATGTTATATTGATGAATGTTTTAATAATGTTTGATTGATGGAGTTGGCCTTGAATCTGTTTCCCTTTCTCAACAATAAAAGTACAATTGTTAAGGAACTTTGATTACCAACTAAATTATTTGATTACCAAAAAGAGAAAAGTTACCGTACTTTTAAATTTTTAACGAGGAAATTACCTTCTGTATTAAAAGCTGTAATATCTCAGCACTGGTACATTTCTGCATTAAAAGCTGTATTATCTCAGCACTGGTGCATTAGTAAAGCTCTGTTTCTGTCAAGAGTCACAAGAGTCTTGCCTTTGCCTGAAAAATAAGTTGAATTGAGGCAAACACAACTTTCGACAATGAAGTCAACTTTCAATGTCACTTTCAATTTCAGATTGTGGCTCCTTGTCCACCCTCTGGTTGCCCAGAGGGACTCCATTGTTGCTCGTTCACCGGCAAACCCGAGTTCGGCTTCTGTGCGGGGCCTGGCGTTGCTTGTTGATTGGAATCGTTTGGGAAAGCTAATATTTTAAAGATTTTCTAGTATTTTTTAGATTTTGTCAATAAAAATTCCAATTTGTATTCCAAGTTTGTTAAAACCGCATGAAATAACTCACGCGCAAAGCTTTCATGTCCTTTCAATCCCAGCTTTGACTGACCCCTTGTTGGTTTTAAAATTAGAGCTTTCCAATTCATATCCAAAACAAACTTGTTTAGTATTCACACCTTTCAAAATATGTGGAAAGAAATTTTGAACTTTACGATATTTATATTATTTGTTGTTGAACACTTAAATAGAAAGATTTAAACAATTTTTTTGAATATTTAGCAATTACGAAGAGAAGGGGGATTAGGGAATACGATAAAACAGCTGTTCAAAAAAAGAGAAAAACCTAAAAGGAGTCCCCCGACTTCCAGCTTTGCTTTCCGACCTCGTGATCGACGAGTTCGCAAAGACTTCGATTCTCCTCAAGTAAATTCCTCCAATAGAAGCAATTTTGCGGAATGATTGAAAAATGGAAGCGCATGCGCTTCTAAGGTGCTTTGCAAAATGATAGGACCACCCCTAAATTTTACATTTTTTCGCCGTGGCGAAATAGCTTTTAAATCCGAGAAATATATACAAAAATAGACATAAATACCGTTTCTAACGTTACTTGAAAATAAATTGCAACAAAATGATAGGACCACATAAAAAATAACAATAAATTTAAGAATAAACAAAAGAAATACGAATGAGAAATTCATTAATAATCAATAGAGGCTCCCTTTTTCTTGATGACGTCGAGTAATCGCCTTTTTTGATCGAGTTCACCAAGTTTTGAAGCGTTTCTGGTGGAATTGACGCCCAAGCTTGCAAAATTGCTTTCTTGAGTTGCGAAATCGTGTCGTAAGTCTTCCCATTAGCATAAATATTTCTCACGAGGATGCTGATAAGTTTTCAAGAAATTTGCAACAACTTGGTGCGAGCGTTTCATTTTCTTTGCGATCTTCCGATTCGACAACTTTTTTTCCTTTCAAAATCGCAATTTTCGGTACTTGTGGAGTATCCGGGGGGGTCTTTCAATATCCGGGGGGGGGTAAAATTTTAAGATCCGGGGGTAAAATTTTATATACGTTATACACGACCCCTTTTAAAGATATTCAGCCGCTTAAGTGATTTGGTGGCAAATTCCCTTCAAATGTAAAGATATTCAATTTATTGAGGTGATGACTTGATTACGTGATTCGAGGTGATACTCGATCAAAAACGTAACTTCTACAAAAATTTTTTATGTCATTATTAGAAATGTTGATAATATCCTAGTTGGCGGGTCATTTTTTTTTCTTCAAAACCATTTTTTGAGGTAGTTTTATGTGTTGATGTGGGTCCGGCAGATGCCCAACCCACATGTGGTTTTGAAGAAAAAAGTGGTCCCCCAACTAGGATACTATCAAAAGTTTTTTTTTCAGAATGCGATATTCTGAGGTGAGCGCGCTTTCCGAGCGTGATGCGATTGATATTTTTGTTCAAGCAGGAATCCTTGCAGCACCGGCATGTGGATGTGGTCGTAAAATGAAGATTCGCAGTAAGGAGAAGGATGTTTATCGTTGGGAGTGTGACAAGTGTATTCGTGAACGAGCCAAAGGAAATAGAGCAACAAAGGGCATGAGAGTAAACAATTTTTTTTCTCTTTCACACCGCCCATTCCATGAACTGGTCAAATATTTGTCGATTTGGAGCTCTGGACATCACTCGATTGATTTTCTCAAAGACGAATTGGGATGGGCCAATAACACAACGGTTGATTGGAATAAGTATATGCGTCAAGTATGCGCTTGGATTGTATCAAGAAAGCAGCAAGGACAAATAGGGGGCCCTGGACTCACGGTTGAAATTGATGAGACGCTAATTGCAAAGAGGAAAAACCACAAAGGGAGAATCGTACCAGAAAAGTGGGTATTCGGCGGTATATGTCGTGAAACGAAATCATATTTTGCCGTCATTGTGCCTGATCGATCCTCGGAGACTCTCATTCGAGAAATCCATCGCTTTATTGCGCCAGGTTCTCATATTCTTTCCGATGGATGGAAAGCATACCGCCCTTTGGCGAACGACAAACAATACACTTGGGGATGGGTAAATCATAGCGTGAATTTTGTGGATCCGAAAGATGCGACTATCCATACGCAAACAATAGAACGCTTCTGGCGTCCTTTCAAAGATAGCAATCGATTTCGTCATGGAACCCACGAACACATGATTGAGTCATGGATTGCTGAAGGACTCTGGCGCCTTAGTTTGCCCAAAGGCGCGGACGCATTTGAGCAAATTCTCAAGGATATTGCTCGTTTTTGGCCTCCTGGCCTAGAAGTAAATTCTATAGATTTTTATAAGTAGTATTCATTGCCACTGTTACAAATAGTCACTGTTGTACTTCACAAATTTATCTAATTATTATGTTTGGTTTATGTTTATGTTCTTGCATTACTCGTGCATCTTGTTTATTCGTTGCTGGTATAGTTATAAAATTTAGTTACCACACGCAAACAGCGGCAAAGCCAAGAGGATCGAAGCCTGGCAAGAAAACAAGAAAAACATTTTTGGGCATTTGGTTGGTTTTTGAAAGTTTACCCCGGATCTTAAAATTTTATCCCCCCGGATCTTAAAATTTTACCCCCCCGGATCTTAAAATTTTACCCCCCCCCCCCCGGATACTGTAAAATCCCAATATCCAATATCTCTACTGTATCGAAAAAGTCGTGACCTTTAAGACCGATTCAGGTACAATCCTCATTCTATTTTGCATCATTGATTTTACACTTTTCTAAAAAACCAAATTTTCTCTCTCCCACAATGTAATGACAAGGCTTAACTAGAGAACTTTTCAAAAATGATCTTATCAATCTAGTGAATGACACTTTGATGTCAATTAGCACGTCTTCTCATAGGAAAGCACTATCGCAGCCTTTATTTCAATGGCACCTACAAGCAAGCTTTGGCATTTTTCGGAATTTCTAAGTCTTGTCTTTCTGCGCATAAAACTCGTGTATGTAAATATTTATTGTCTTTCTTGAAAGAAACACAAATATAATATAAAACTTTACAGAAACAGAGCTTTACTAATTCTGGAAAAAGGAAAAAGAAGATAAGCAAAAAATTTCTGTTAAAAGCAACGAAGCAAAGGAAAGTTGATGTCATTCTAACCAAGTAAAATACCGTATTTTCTCTAATAGTAGTGCACCCGGCCGAGCCAAGTTGGTGATGATTTTACGGTTTCCAAGCTTTTGCAAAAGCTCAACACTCTAATCCCCAAAAGATCTCATCATCAGCCACATTTTCCGACCCCACATCGATAGGTTCTGATAAGCGGTCCTCGAGATTTCGAGCAATTTAGGCAAGGCTCAGGGTGCGCTACTATTAGAGAAAATACGGTATGCACAATCAGCTTACCATTCATAATATTGTACAAGAACTTTTCTTCTTCGATCTCAATCCTTTTGGCCAAGTCGATCGATCATTGAGATCAAATTGCTTCGTTTTTGGATTTCCTCTCCAATCCAATATCTGTGCTTTAAAGTCTGAGCTAATAATTGTATAAGTTCTCTTTGGACGTGGGGTTTCCAGGAGGTATTCATGCACTTCTTTCCAATCCAAATGAAATAATTCTGACTGAAAGTTGCAGCAAAGGATCTTTTCACCGTGTGAATAGTTGTCCGGGTGATCGAGAAGAAGCAAAAAATTTTGTTTCTGAACTCCGCTAAACTTTCTTTTTTCGCAATTCAAAAAGAGAAAATTCTTCGTTTTATCTGGGAAATCTTTGAGCAAAGAGGAAGCGAATAGGGAAAGACGACGAAAAACCCAATCAATGAAGCCATCCTTTTGAAAAACGACAAATGCTTGATTAAGTAAAAAATATGAGATCAAATATTGGAGTTGTTCTTTCATGGAACACTCGTAGACGGTTACTTGCAATGTTGATAACTGACTGGGAACTATAAAGTCTTCAAAAAGTCGCCTAACCTCTTTAACCTCAATCAGATTACATTTTGGCTCACAATTACAGCAATGTCTTGGTGGATTCTTTAATTGAAAAATGTAAAATGGAATTGGCAATTTGGCGCCAAGATCACTTTGAATCATAGCATTTCTGTTCTCACTCTCATCTAGCTGAACAAAGCGTGCAATTGTGTATTGGGTGATTTTACGGGAAAGCGCTTGCGTTTCCTTCAAACAGTCAATGATTGTGAGTGCATCAAATGCTTTCAACTGTGAATAGATCAACTCATCACCGATCGAGTTCTGTGCTTGCTTTGATTTGGTTTGTGTCCGGAAAATCGTCTGCTTGTGACGATTTTCCGTGGCCCATTCACCCTCAAAATCGACCACTTCGGTGAGATCTCTTTTGAAAAAAACACTTTGTTTTTTGTCCTTTTCCAACAGAAACCATTCTTGACGATTCACACTTGAAATGAAAGATTCAAAGAAGATTTTGGTTGAGTAACGAGTGCGCTCGTGCTCTTCAAGGTCTTCGATGCACAGTGCTAGCTCTGTCTCTCTCACCCAAGGGATTAATGAGTGGCGATCAGCCCGTTGAAGCACATAAAAGCTCAAGTCAATCAAGTTCATTTGTCGATAGAAATCACTTAAAATAATCATCTTAAAAATCTCATCCAAACCGGTCAGCTTCCCATCGAGCAATGCTTGCTTGGATCCTTGCAACTCTTTCCACAATTCGCATCTCTCTTCAAATTGTCTTGTTTCACCCTTTTTCATTGAGAGAATAACGTCAATTCTTTTCTGAAACTCCTGTTTTTCTATGTCAGTAGATTCTTGAAATTTGACATAAAATGCTTCACATAATCGTTCTTCAAAGAATAGTCCATCCGATCTTTCGAGAATCGAATCTATCTCTTTTATTCCATTTCTTGAGTTGAGCAGCCTTTGCATTGCGCTAAAGTCTTTGCTTCTCACAAGAATTCTTTCCATTGTCTGATTAAACCCTATCGGTCTTAGAAGTTCTCTTTGAGCAGTTTCGATTGTTGGCAAATCATCTAAACCCATTAGAAAGTGGTGGGTCTAAAAATTTCCATTTTGAAAGCCCAACCCATAATTCACCTTTTTGATCGTTTCCAAATGCTGGCAGACATCAGTGGCTTTGGGTCTTTTTGAGTAATCAAAATTAGTGCAACTGAAATCTTGGTTGTTTGGCAAAGTTTGCTTTTATTAGGTTGGCAAATAATTCCTTTCGTTCCTTTTCGTATTTCCATTTAAAACCAACAAATGCATGAATTGAATTATGGTTTATTTTATTTGAAAGGCCAATTATTTTTCTGCAAAACAACATTAAAACGGGTTTAAGATGTCTTATGTCAGAATTTTTTACGAGCGTAAAGTCGGGTAGTCAAAAAAGTTGGCTCGATGATGCGGTTTAGACCGTTTAGCTAAGAAAACCTATCATCGTGTCAATAGATAAAAGAAAGAGCACAAAAAGTTAAGTATATAGACAAATTTTCAGAGAAATAGATTTATCCAATTTCTTCGTAGAGATTTTTATCGATTTTTACGAAAGACAAGTTTTCACACTCTCGAATTTGCGTGAAAGTGAACCCAAATTTACTTAAAAAGGTGGGAAATCGAACAACAAATACTTTTTATTTAGATCAAGGCAATTGGTGGTTTTGTTATTTTACAATGGAAGTGAGAAAAGGAACGAAAAAACTTATTCATCATAATAGTTTGACAGATTTTGAACGAATGAAGACAAACTTTTTCACGAGATTCTGAATCTCTCCCTGACACTCGGATAGCTCCAAATTTAAAAGCCTTTGCAGAATAACATCCGTCAAAAAGATATCCCTCGAGAACTTTCCCTCTTTCCCGTAATCGGAAAACACAAGTCTAGAAAGATCACCGATTTCTCTTTACTTGTTCTTTTACACAATTTACCTCCTTTCGAAAATCATCCACAAAACAAGGCCCAAACCATAAACATCATTTCGATGTGAGGACTAAAAATGAAGAAAAATAAACAAAACAAAGAAGTTTTAGGAGTTCTATTCACCAGTTGACTATTTTTGATTTGCTCTTCTACAGCTATCAATTGATTGAATGGTGGCGGACTCATGTACCGCGCGGTTCCCACATAAGAACCCGATTGAGTTTGATCCACGCTTTTGCCACATCCAAAGTCACCGATTTTCAGCGTAAACGCTTTGGTGACGAAAATGCTAAAATTTCTTTTTAGATTGTCTTTCTCTTCTTTCTAGAATCTTTCTCTTCTAGAATAGAAGAGCAAGATTATTGACTGGCTTCTTGATGTTAATAACCTCTTTGTTATTAAATTGAGAGTTATTGTACCGATGCTTCAACTTTCTAAGCGAGTTTTTATTTGAATAAATGATTGGGGTTTCAGGTGATTTTTACTGCATTCTTGATTTCGAAATCTCACATCTGACTCAAAAAGAATTTGAAAGCCGACAACCAGTCATCAGGTGTCACTATCAGTTATCGATGCCACAGCGTCTGAGTTCGCAAAAAGGTGGTTTTAGTAATTTTGAAAAGTTCTTGCTTAGCTTCTATTTCTGACTCAAGAAGTTTGTGCCAAAGTTTGTGCCAAAGTTTGTGCCAAAGTTTGTGCCAAAGTTTGTGCCAAAGTTTGTGCCAAAGTTTGTGCCAAAGTTTGTGCCAAAGTTTGTGCCAAAGTTTGTGCCAAAGTTTGTGCCAAAGTTTGTGCCAAAGTTTGTGCCAAAGTTTGTGCCAAAGTTTGTGCCAAAGTTTGTGCTAAAGTTTTTAACTTTGGCACAAATGTGATCATAATGGACGTTTTTGTGATTGGTGTGCTAATGATGAACGAAACAAGTTTCTTTTCGTTTAGCCCTACTCACTTTGACGGAGAAATATCTCGATGAATCACGTGATGTTCCTCAAACATGTAACGACTAGCATCAAAAAGCTGTTCGGCCCATAAAAGAGCGCATTTCATCGTATAAACAATTTGTGGATGAAATATTGCTAAAATTCAGCTTTGTAACCCATATCAAACTTTAGCCAAACCATTTCTCAGAGTTCCCCTTTCACAGAATTCCGTAATGATCCCAAAATTTTTCCCACCCGAGACGTGCTTGCTTAGCATTTGAATGATATTTGGATGCCTCAGTTTGGCCAGAATTTCACATTCTTTTGTGAAAATCAATAGATTCTCCTCACTGGAGCAGATCATAAATTTGATGACTGCTGGGCTAAAAAGATTCTTATTGTTGAATGCCTATGTATTTTTAATCAAAACTTACGGTTTATGTTCAACGATTTCAAAAGCTTTTCCGAATCGCCCATTACCAATCTTCTTTAGTGTATAGTCTAAGTACCGCATCGTCATGATTAGAACGAGGAATTAAACAAAATGAATATAGCTTTTTGAGTGAAAAAAGAAAGGATCGACTAATAAGTTCATCCTTTCTTTTTATAAGAAAGGACTGATAAGACTGATAGTTTTTGAATTTGATCAGCTGATTTTTGGAGTAAAATAGATTAATAGAATGGGGCAATAGAAAACATTACGTTTTGAGGTCTTGTTTGTTTTTGATGACACATTCGTTAGCTTATTGAAGATAAGGCTTTCCCAAGACTTCTATAAACTGGTTTTTATTTCAAAAGTACTGATTATAAATAGATATTTTGAATCAAGACATGAGGTAAGGTGAAAAGAGTTTTCCAATGCACAGAAGTAGTAAAACCTTCAGAAACATAGAAACTAATGGCAAACAAACATTGCAAGATTGCAGAATAAATTAAATTCAAACAATTACCCACAAGAGAGAAGTGTTCTAGGTTATCCACTGATTTTACCGATTAAAGAACCCAACGCTGTTACATTCTCTTACCGTAAAACTTCTAATATACTTACATGTACGTCTTACTCGTACTTACATAGCGGAAAACTCTATACAGCGGAACGGAATTTTGGTCCCGGCCGACGCTAAGCTATATAAAACGACACTCTATATAATGGAAACATGTTTAGGTCCCGTTATATAGAGAGTCAACTGTATAGAAGCGTTCTAAAGAGTGAGTTTTAAAAAAAACTATTGTACTCAGACTGTCTTTTCAAATGTTTAAAAAAAATAGCAAATTTACCAATTAACCTATGATTTGCTCTAAATAAAAAGTATTTGTTGTTCGATTTCCCACCTTTTTAAGTAAATTTGGGTTCACTTTCACGCAAATTCGAGAGTGTGAAAACTTGTCTTTCGTAAAAATCGATAAAAATCTCTACGAAGAAATTGGATAAATCTATTTCTCTGAAAATTTGTCTATATACTTAACTTTTTGTGCTCTTTCTTTTATCTATTGACACGATGATAGGTTTTCTTAGCTAAACGGTCTAAACCGCATCATCGAGCCAACTTTTTTGACTACCCGACTTTACGCTCGTAAAAAATTCTGACATAAGACATTTTAAACCCGTTTTAATGTTGTTTTGCAGAAAAATAATTGGCCTTTCGAATGCAATAAACCGTTGTTCAATTGGTGCATTTGTTACTTTTTAACGGAAGTACGAAAAAAATGAAAAAGACTTTTGCATCAACCTAATATATTGGGTTGTCCAGTTATGAATGCGCGGTTTTACTATTTTGTAAATTTCTCAAGATATCGAACAGATTTATATGAGTGTTATATATCATTCGAGAGCTGAATATCTCCTCTACATTTTGATATAAAAACCTTTGGAATTTGTTTAGCTTTTGGGCAAATTGACTGCACAGAAGAAGAGGTGACCAAAAAATGGAAGGGTGCCTTTGGATCAAGTTTTGGCTCCGCTCAAATTGAGTTAACCGTTTGATGTTTGGCCAATGATATATCAATACAACTTTTTTAAAAGTATAACAATTTCAGATCATCTTTACTTTTCTTTTCTGGGCGATTATTTTACAGTGTAAAACTTGAGGAATAGCTAAGCTGAAATGGGTTTTTTCAGATTAGGGCATTCAGTATAGAATAGGGTATTCGTTGAAAATCTTTCCAATATTAGGTTGGTGAATAAGTCTTTTCGTTCCGGGAGTACGAAAAGGAACGAACCAAGTAGCTCGCGGGCTACAGTGACATTTTTATCTTTTAGACACTTGCTTTAGTTAGTTGTCGGTGTAATATTGGTTTGTTCCAAAATCAAAGCTTACAGCTGTCTATTAACCTCCGAAGCAACAACAGGAATATCTGTTATTCTTTACAATTACTATATTTACTGTATGGACTGTACTCAGCATTGCCGAAGGATTGTTGGAGAGAAGAGCAAGGTGGAGGATTACTCTATGTCTAACAGTATGTTTGAGAGCGGAAATCTGAATGTTCATTGCAAAGAAATTGAAGCACTTTGATTCTAGGATGCACTTTGATATACATACTTACAAAGACATCATTCTTTTAGTTACACAAAAGCTTTCAAAAAGTGCGTTCAGGAAAAAGCTCCGGCTTTATTTAAATGTTTAAGCCTGGCTTTCAAAAGAATCAGCTAGTCCACTCAAAGCAAAATTAGAAACATTTGTTATTTCTATCAAAATTCAAAAACATTTGAAATTCGTGACCTTTAAGACCGACCTAGGTACAATTATTATAATATTTTGCATTATTGATTTTCCATTTTTCTAAAAGATCAAATTTTTCTCTCAGAAAAGGCAATTTCGACACAACCAATGATGCAAATCGAAACAAATGAATCATTTTTCTGAATGCGCCCAACTGGTAAACATGATCATTATATAAAGCCAAAAAGAAAATGGCATTTCAAGGCATTCTTCAAAAATTTTCGCTATGACTCAATATTTTCTTCTACTTGTTTGCTTGATGGTTCTGTTGATGATTCAAGAAGTTGGTTTTACAATTTGAACATGTTATAGTGATGCGATTGAGAATATAAATAATGCTTTGATTAATAATGTTGGCTTTTAACTTGTCTCCATTTCTTAACAATAAAGGTACAATTGTTAAGGAGCTTTGATTACCAACTAAATTATTTGATTACCAAAAACAGAAAAGTTACCGTACTTTTAAATTTTTAACAAGGAAATTACCTTCTGTATTAAAAGCTGTATTATCTCAGCACTGGTACATTTCTATCCACAAGAGTCTTGCCTTTGTCTGAAAAATAAGTTGAATTGAGGCAAACACAACTTTCGACAATGAAGTCAACTTTCAATGTCACTTTCAATTTCAGATTGTGGCTCCTTGTCCACCCTCTGGTTGCCCAGAGGGACTCCATTGTTGCTCGTACACCGGCATACCCGAGCTCGGCTCCTGTGCGGAGCCTGGCGTTGCTTGTTGATTGGAATCGTCTGGGAAAGCTAATATTTTAAAGATTTTCTAGTATTTTTGTAGATTTTGTCAATAAAAATTCCAATTTGTATTCCAAGTTTGTTAAAACCGCATGAAATCACTGAAGTTCAAGGCTTTCATGTCCTTTCTAAGCCCAGCTTTGCCTGGTCCATTATTGGTTAAAATTAAGGCTTACCAATTCATATCCAAAACAAACTTGTTTACGATTCACACGTTTCAAAATGTTTGAAAAGAAATTTTGAACTTTTCGGTTCATCGAGGATCATTCATTCTATTTTGCATCATTAATTTCATGCTTTTTAAAAAAAAGATCAAATTTTTCTCTCAAAATTTCATCGCTTTCATCCAATTGTGCAAATATGGCTTATTTTTCTGAATATATTTTCGCTTATCGTAAACAGATTGAGTTTATAAAACCTGGGGAAAATAATAGTTTTCAAGGCATTCGCGAAATTTTCCATTATGACTCACAATCAATATTTTCTGTTACTGGTTTGCTTCATCATTCTGTTGATGACTGAAGAGGTGAAAAAATCTAGAGAAAATGATTACTTTATGTTAAATAAATTGCCTGCTCTAAAAACTTTGTATCTAAGGGTTATATGGTGTTGCTCACAGTAAAATTCAGCATCAGATTTGTTCTACAAAATCTCTTTGATCATGCTAAAGCTAAAAAAGATTGCAAGTTCTTGTGTTAAAAGTCCTAGAAAGCTTGGTTTTTGGTAGTTTTTTGATGCAATAGTCAATAAACTATCAAAAAAATAACCATGTTTCGCATTGAAAATCGTTTTCTAAGCCGGTTTAATTACCCAATTCATTCTAAACTCAATCGGAACATTGTGCCAGATACCCTTTTTGCTTTTTAATAAGTAAAGAATGTAGAAAGTACGTAAAAATTGTGATGAATTTCAGGTTTTGGCCGCTTGTACTAAAGGCTGTCCTAAAAAAGGTTGCCCAAAGGGACTCCACTGTTGCTCATTCACCGGAAATCCAGAAGACGGCTTCTGCGCTCCACCAACAACTCAATGTTAATTTTGGGCTGTTTGGCCATTCAATTTGATTATACAATTTGCAAATAAACAATTCTATTGATGTTTTACTTTTGTAGAATACGTTAGAAATTCAAGTTCGGTGAGAGTCTTGTTGAAAGGTCATATGGCAAGAAGTAGATCCTTGTTGCTGGTTCTTAGGAGATTGAAAACCTCGTCCAAAGCGACACGCTCCAGAGTCAATTCTTTGAGTAAAGAGGGTAGTTTTAGTGGAACATAAAAGTAGGATTTGTTAATTTAGTTTAAAATGATTATGGGGTTTGAAGCAAATCTTTTGACCTAGTAAATGTCAGAACGCCAATTCTTATCCATTGCCTCTTTCAGCAATATTCATTGATTCAATCTTTACGCCAATATCTTTATTAAACTTTATTCATACATAAAATGAACATAAAAAACTTTAAATAAAAATAAGCAAATAAAAAACCGATTGAAGTTAATTATCGTCGATATTTGAGATTTATTTTATCCACAAGGGCCATTTTGGGATCCTTGTCCGGCGTCAATACGAGTGAAACGATCCTCGCCGATACTGGAAAATCTACAGATTATTTGGTGTGAAATTATCCTTAAATTTACTGATTTTGAGCTTTTTGATCAAACTTTGAAGTGTAGCCGTCAGCTTAAAGACAATGTAAAGTGACTACAGTAAACCAGCATAAAATATTCATTCACAAAACTGAATATCTTTTAATTTCTTGCAAAAAATATCCAGTTGATAAGCTAAATAGCTTTTCGCATACTGTCGAAAAGTAAAACTTTAGTTTATTCTGCTTTAAGATGATGCAAAGCTCACGTGTTTTTCATCCAATGCTCTTTACATGAATCGGCCTTTGATTTGAGGATCCACGAGGTCCAAAGTAGTTCCTAAACATAAGCTTTTAGTGTCTAGGTAGTAACTTTTATCAAATTCTTATCAATCTTACTTCTCCATCACTTTTCGCGTAACATTGCCCAGTGAAAACAACGGTCGACTCTTTAAACATGACCGCAAATGAAA